AGATTCCTCCCCACACCGACCAGATCATGTCGGATGTCCTCATGGGCACGCCCATTGTAACGCCAGAGGGGGCAGCTCCTCCAGCTGCTGCTGGAGACGGGGGCTTCGAGTTCGGAGTGGACCCCAGCCAGGACCCTGAGCTGGTAGGTGGAGCATGTTCCAACCTAGGGCTTTCATCGCTGCTCCCAGGCGATGGCCCTCCGTATGTCTATGGAGGAAGAAAGGGCTCGACAGGGGCAGAGTACGGCGGCAGATGCCTCCGCTCAGCAAGGAGGTAGTAGGCGGAGCGTAGCACGTTATAGTGGTCATCTGCAACTGTTGCGGAGGGCTCGTTATATTAGGCCCTGCGGGGACGGGTGTGGAGAGCTCCGTTGCTACGCCCCAGATGGATCCAAGGCTTCAGGCTGCTCTGGCTGATGCTGCTGCGGCTGGGGAAGAGGTAGGTCTATTGGTGATGTGGCGGAGGAGTGGTATCGTTGTCTTAGGTTGATGATGAGCTACGTCAAGCCTTGCTATTGTCGCTGCAAGAGTCGGATACCCAACAGAACAGCCAACAGAAAACGGAGGAAGAAGGTAATGGGGCGGAGCTGGTCGTAGGAGCTTGCGATTGTGATGGTAGGACAAGATAAAGAAAAAACGCCTGCTGCTGAAGAGAGCACGACTGCTAAGCCGTCAGCGCCATCGGCTCCTGCGCCGGCTGGTGACGATATGGACGAGGAGTTGAGGAAGGCGCTGATGGAAAGCCTCGAGGATTGGGATGGCGGGTAGTCTAGTTAGCGATCCTTTGGGATGGCGATTTGACTGTGGTGTGGTAGGGAGAAAACTGGTGGTGACGGAGAGGCTCCAGCTGAGAAGAAGCAGAAGCAGGAGCAACCTCCTTCTTCATCATCATCCTCCTCAGCTGCTCAAGGGCCTTCCGATGATGCTGCGATCTTCCAGGTGGGATCTGAGATACCCTCATTTCTGATAGGGGCATTTCCTCAGGACCCCTCCATGGTCGCTGAGCTCCTCAGTGGTCTGCCAGGGGTGGACCTGAACGATCCGAGGATACAGGAAGCGCTGAAGGATCTGCAAGAGTGAGTTGAGCAGGGTGTGGTATGGGGTAGGCCTGATGCTCTCAGGGATAAGAAGGAACCTTCTGATAAAGATGATGATAAGAAGAAACAGTAACTCTCATTGTAGTTGTAATAGACATCGACCGAAATCGAGATGGAGTTTTCGTGAGCATCTTTATTACGAAAATGGTTGAGTTGAAATAGTCAGGGAGGTTGAGGGGCATCATGTAAGAGGTGTATATTACATCAACAAGTGGTGAGGAGTGGAGTGTTATGACCGTTGTATTGTTGGGATATGTCTACGTGCTCGATCACAGGCTGATACAGGACATGAGCTCAGATGGTCATAGTATATGAAACTAGCAAAGTTGATTACATCACACCATGATCAACTTTTTCCTTATGCTACTTGAGAAAGCGAGTTGAAACTGTGTTGGGAGTATGGTTCTAGCAGGGTTTTGCGATACGGAAAAACCCAGGCTTGATTGGAAACTTACATTCAACGTCTTCTAGTTTGTCAGCTCAGGCAGACGAGGTTTTTCTACTTGTGCGGTTGGCTTTGAACCGAACAGGAATTCGCAATCAGAAGAGTAAAAAGTCACAAGATGCCGCTTGAAAGACATTATTTTGCAAATCACTGTTGATAGAATCGCCATAAATTTCCCTACACCGTGACGAGGCTTCGCCAAGAGATACAAACATCAGCTCTTCCCGTAGT